GACATATTTTCGGACCAAAACTAAATTATTTATGCTCACAGACTCTGATTTCTCATCTGTCATCATCATTAGGACAAACTAACATCACTAAAGTTGACGATCTCTTAATCTTTCTTAAAACTGATCATAGATTTCAGTAAAACGCTCTGAATATGAACTTTATTGAGTTTCTGTGTTCATGCTGGTCGCTCCTCTTGTCCGTTTGAGAGCAGCCGAGTCAAACGCCACTCTCCGCTCGTAAAAATCTTTTGAACTGCAATGCATGATGGTATATATTGCTTGCATAGTGACCATCGCTCATACACTACTTTTCAAAATGCATTGTGGGATACATTGAGTGGACTATATAGGTTATGACCATGCTCACTCAGAATTCGGACAGTACTACAAAATGGCGTGTCCACTATATGGTGGATAAAGAGTGATTTCGGACACAGCCCATCATCCCGGACATCCTGCACCGTAAACTCACCCAGCTCACAGTGCCGGCCTCCACCTGTCAGTGGATCACCAACTTCCTGACTGACAGGAGACAGCAGGTGTGGCTGGGGAGCATCACATCCAGCAACCGGGCCATTAGCACTGACGCCCCACAGGGGTGTGTTCTCTCCCCACTGCTCTTCTCCCTCTACACCAATGACTGCACCTCAGGGGACCCTTCTGTGAAACTCCTGAAGTTTGCAGACAACACCACTGTTATCGGTCATATTTAATATTATACATTTGTACAAAGAGAGCACAGTTTACCAAAAGTACAATTCCTTGTGTGTTTAAGCATACCTGGCCAATAAAGCTGATTCTGATTCTGATTCTGACTACCGCCTGCTGGCATGGAGAGGTATTTCCTCTCACGCATGAGCAGAACATACGTGGTGGTTGGCTGTCGGCTGTAGTCTTTACAATGTGTTCTAGTGCAATTTTTTGGCCAAGACCAAAGGCGACGTGAGGCGAGGGAGATGAGTTCTTTCCCATCTGCTTGGCGTGTCATTGTGTTCAATATGTAACTTTTCAACTTTAAAATATTTGTAAGTCTGTCTAACAGCGTAATCACGTTCAACAGGGAGAATGTTGTCTCTCCAACATCCGCGTAGCGGCTCGCTGCCTCAATACTCCACCATGTAACTTTCTGACCGCAGCTCGCGCTCATCTCGCGCTCATCTCGCGAGAGGTATGTACTGCTTTACAGCACTAGTTTACAAGTCCTCGGAGTTAGCAGAGACTGTAAATATTAGGAGTAAGCCCATCTCTGCACTGCTTGATGCAGGAAAAGCACGTTGACGGATGAAGCTAGGAATAAAAAAAAGAATAAAGAGAGTGTGACCGAACAAGAGACCGGACTTGAGTAAATAATGGAGAGGCTTTTACACGTTGGAGAGAGCTTCGGGGAACGGTGGGCTGTAAGTTTGATACCGAGCTGGCACTGCTGCTGTTGAACTGGTGAGTACTATGCTCATTATAAACGTTGTCTTTTTTCTTTGCATCATAGTTATCAGTTGTTTCAACACAAACCCATTCAGTCTGTATCATATAACGACCAGAATGCCAGAATAACATTACTGGCCCCTGATGATGAGTTAGCGACGCATGCTAACATTATAGACTTATTTGGGCAGACTTCGACTGATGCACGGCGAAAAAAGTTGTCGACACATTAGCGGGTGTTTGAAAGCCAAGTCAGCTCATGTCAGCAGAAGTTTAGCCCGTAGCATGATAATATAGACAGCATATTGTCCCGGGTTCAGGTTACGATAGCTCCGGCTGCTAATTATCTGAGCAGCGTGTATGCAAAGTTTCCCTAGTAACCCTACCCAACAGGACAACTTCAAATTTGGAGAACTTCCAAAAGCACATCCTTATGTATGCAGAGAAGCACTTTGGTCACAGCCCACCTGTATACAGAACACTGACACTGACCACTTGCTTGCAGCTACTGATTATAACCACCAGACTTCCTGCTCAAAACCGTGATGGACACAAGATGTAAGTATTTAGTATAACAGTTGTCTAACATACAAATGTATTGTTGCTGTTACCTAAACAGTTTTGAAAATATGAAACCACTCTAATACTGAATACTCACACTAAACATCGGACGGCAGACATCCAGATTTTATCAAATCTGGTAATATACGTAACTGTACCTTTTGAGTCGATATGGTTCTTTATCTTCTCACGGCGTCTATGCCGGCTTCCTCACCCTCTGCTTGTCAACAAATGCACGTTGTTTCAGATGGGAAGCGTAATCGTTTTACGACAGTGCAGTTGCAGTCAAAGACCTGCTGTTGGCACTAAAGTGCACCAAAACTGAAAAGTTACATATTGGGGCGTTAATGTCAGAGAGCATGTACCGAACAGGTGAGTCACTTATATGATAATAATCCTCCTTTGCCTCACTTCTGACTAATCCAGTCATAAAAAGGGCTCTTTCTTATGACTCAGAGAAAGTTTCCTGGACAAGCATCTCGTCAAAGTCAACAAACGTCACTATGATGCGTGTCCTTTCATTGTTCTCGGGAGCCTTAAAAAAGTCACTTTTTGCTTTCTCTTCTTGGCAGAGTAAAAGTGAAAACACAAACATGCTGAGGAAGCACACTGTGGCCAGATCTGAGGATTAACAACAATCAGCTTGATCTTTAGTCTGATGGGAAATAGATTCTGAAACTGAAACAAGGAAACTTGTATATTTGTAATTAAATTGAGCCAGGAAGGAAACAAAAGAGTTCCCCGTTATGAAAACCAAAACCTCATGATTCACCCCGACAAGGAAGCCAACTCATTGTATCCTTCTGACATTTCTCCTTTGAGTGTACTGACACAATACAACCACATTCCCCACTGTCTGCAGTCATCACAAGTTTGTTTTTTCAGATCTCCAGAAAACAACTGAATCGCCCATCACAACGTGAAAACAGAGTTCTATAAAATGTTTTGACGCATGTCCGGTCGGCTTCCGTAGGTCTGACAACTTGACATGAAGCCCTAGTTTTATTTCATAAGAGCTGGGGAGGTATTCAAAGATTCACAACGCTAAATGTGCCTTTCAGAAAAAGATGTTTGCACTGAAAAAAAGTCAAACTCGGGGCGCTGGTGGGGCAGTGGTTAGTGCGCCCACCCCATGTATGGAGGTCCACCCAGGTTTGAATCTGGCCAGTGGCTCCTTTCCCATGTGTCATTCCCCACTCTCTCTCTCCCTGATCTCTCCACTGTCCTATCTCTACAATAAAGGCCCGAAAAGCCCAAAAAGTCAAACTAATGTCAGGAATTGTTGAAAACAAACATAAACAAATGAGTCACTTTCACAGCGCCTGCTGGTATGTACTGGTAACTTAAATCCATCTTATTCTGACATGTTTACACTGAGAAGGCTCTTCTGTCTAGCAGTGTGTTTCTAAACATGTGCAATGTTTAAATTCCACCTGAAACTCCTTTTGCACATTTTAAGACGCACTTAGGAAACATATAACAAAAATACTTTCTGTGACTGAAGACTGAAGCTTCAAATAATTCGAATGACACAAGTATGAAGGAAGCAGGTTAAAGGTCCAATCAGTGAGATGTGTAGTGACAGATTCACACAGTTTAAGCCTCTGCTTCCGTCTTGGCGCTCTAATGAACTGACTCTGGTGTCTGAGCTGCAGCTGAGGACGCTGCCACGCCGACCCCGCCACATTGTGGGGGATGGGAGTTTGTGTTCAAGAGTTTCAGTCAACACATCTGGAGCTGTCACGGAGGTCCAGAACAGAATAACCAACCAGGACGGAAACAAAAATGGCCGACGATAGACGGCCGACGATAGACGGCCGACGATAGACGGACGACTAGAGACGACCAGAAACTAACCATCAGTGGTTCTCAACTGGCCTGGATTCAGGACCCAACACCACTTACAAATCACTTCCTACAGCCACATCTTCAAATAAGCTTCAGCATATATTTATACATAAACTAATCTTTTTGTTGTATTGAGAACATTTAGAACCACATAAATAAGTTTCATTTACTTTTACATTAAACGCACGGTACATAAAATCCGCCGCCAGGGGGCTCTCAATCAACACAATAACAAAAGATGAAGTCGAGGCTGGCTGGGAATCTTGGGAGTTCTCTCTGCTACTGTCTCTCTGCTTTGTCGTTAGGGGAGACAACACCGAACAAAAATAAGTCAAATGTAAACACTGCAGATAATCTGCCTGCAAGAAAAAGTTATTTATTTTCTACTGTTTTAGAGAAGTTAATTTCAACTTTAAAACTAAAATGTATCGTTTTCATTTCAAGCGATGCTTTGATTTCAGTTTGAAATATTCAATAAATTACCACAGAATAGTTCATCAGATATAAACTCTGTGATTAGAAAACATATCCCAGCTTTAGATGTTACGGCTCTGGCTGTGATCCTGTTTCTGTGTATCCTTTGTGTCCCCTACCCCTCTGTCTGTCTGTGTGTGTCTCTGGAGGGTGTGGCTGTAGTCTTCCAGGTGGGCGGCCCAGGTTCAAATCTGGCCTTTCCCGCATGTCATTCCCTACTCTCTCTCCCTGATTTCAAACTCTATCCACTGTCCTGTCTCTCCATTAAAGGCACAAAAAGCCCCCCCCCAAAAAAAATTCTTTAAATGTTCAATTAATCATGATTTAATTTGAGGTCTCATCACCCAGCCCTACTTGAATGTAAACATAGTATACCTTTAATTGAAAAATAAATGAAATGCCTTGCTTAAGATCTATTTGTATCTACTATCTGTGGCTCTTAGATAAGTTAACGGGATATAGGATAGTTTGAGTAATTTAAATATAAAGCAGAATGTGATCCAGTCAGTGTCTCTTTGCCTCCTCTGCTGGTGTCACTGTAACACTTACAGCTGGAGCAGCACTGCCCCGTGCTGGCAGTATGAATGAATACATGTTAAATTTTTTTGTCTGGTCATTGACGTGACCCTTCCTACACAACATTATTCAGACACATTCAATCAATGACATCAGCTCCAGGAGTAAGTTAAACTCACGTTGCAGGCCTCGTTGTTTTCTTGTCTGTGAGGCAGCAGGAATGAAAAGACGCTGAGCTCGCCGTCACACTCCTCCACAGTCTGGTTCACCTCCTCGCAGCTCGTCACCACCGTGTAGAAGTGGGTGGGGATGGGCGGGGCGTCAGTCGTGTGCCTGGACACAGGAGGGAGGGCGGAGATACTCAAAGAAGAGCTGGGCATTTTCTTTTTAATAACAAGGGTGATTTAGTCGCCTGTAAAGCACTTTGGCTCATTGATTTGTTAAAATGGTGCAAGAATCATTTAGTTTAATTGTTATGACAAAAAAAAAATAGTTCAGGAGTTTTAAAAGTGCTTTGACAACAAGAAAATCTTAAAACTCACCAGGAAAACCCAAAAATGTCCAAATACAGAAAGACAAGAAGAACTGAAAGGAATGAAGTAACGATGGGGGGGGGGTTATAAATGAAGCTCTAGCGTGAGTTCAGTCAGGAAGATTTCACAATCGGGTCATTCTCAATCATCACTTTTTGCATGCTTACTCATGTTTCAGCCATCATCAGGTCATCAGCTGTCTCGTCAGCTGTCTCGTCAGCTGTCTCATTCAAGCTTGGGCATGGCTTTCCTCCCTCACTGTCAGCCTATCATCATTCTACTCCCCTTTATGATTCTTTCTCTTCCTTTAGTTCCTTCATGCTGTTGTTTTCATACGCCCCTCCTGCTTCCCATCACTGCTCATCTTCACAGAATCATCATACTGTACATCCGGTCTTATCAAGTCACCCCCCATAGAGTCCAAGCGCCAAAGTATTTCTGTCAGGTCACATTTCCATGTTATTCATTGTAATAAATAATGTTCTTATTTCACTTGTCTCTCCTGATTGAAATAAAAAAAAACAAAAAAAAAACAGTTTCTCACTTTGACAGAAAATGTTTATATGTGTGTTATTTAGTTCTTTGAAAGAAGCTACAAAATGAGGTTTAATTGTTTTACTTCATGCCTGAGATCATCACCAATAAAAAATATCAACCACCAAAAAACTTTTTGTGAAATGTGATGTTGTATCATCTTATGAGAGTTGAGATCTTACTCTTTTATTTTCTCTGTAGTGTCTCGGAGGCCATCATAGTTGAAATCAAAGATTGGTCCAGTGAGGACATTGATGCCGTTATGTTCCTCTGCATAACGCCGCAGCAGCGCCCCCTGCAGGTAACTCCAGAGTCCTGCAGACAGAAAGGAAAAAAGAAAATGGTGATAAACCTCTTTAAAGTCCCAATATGTAACTTGCTAATATGTGCTAATTATCTGAGCAGCGCGTATGCAAAGTTTCTCATGTGTTGAAACTAATGTTACTATGCATCTGGTTGTGTCAAGCAGCATAATGACTTCCAACTTTATTCCAGCTTTCTAAAAAGTTGATCAGTATCATCTCCATCAACAAATGCAGCCTACAACCCTGCCAGAGTCTTACAGTCAGACCGCGACAGGTATGTTTTCATGGAGTAACGTTATCTAGATGTAATATTGTACTTGTCCTTTGATTCGGGAATGATGTCAAAGGTGTTCAGCTACTGAATGAGGAAGAGGAGGAGGCTGATGTCTTGTAATCCAGGTAAATTTGACTTACATCTCAAATACACAAATACATATTTCGCAGATCACATTCCAGTCATGCAAATGCTTGTATTTGTTATTATTTCCATACAAACACATTTCCACTTTTTTTCAAATCGACAATGGCTGCATGATGCGTCAATGCTATTTAGGACCATTATAAAATGTATTTGAAATGGCACACTGCATTTATATTTTGACTCTTTCTATGTCTCCAGCTGATTTTCAAGCTGAGGACTCTGCTCACCTTTATGTTATTTGGTGCAGTATGAAGTGGAAGTGAGAAGTATATATATAGAGAGAGACTTATAGTATAATAACTCTTTCCACAAGTGGAAGTGTACATACCTTGTATTATTTTATTACTGTATTTTTTCTCCCTTTATTTAACTGATGTACATATGTTTGATTTTTAACTTCTTTTTATTTTTGATAATTATATTCCTGTTTCCTGTTTCTTGAGCTGTTGTGACGAAAATATTTCCCCCATGGGGGATCAATAAAGTTTATCTTTATCTTTATCTCACTAACAGAGCAGGTTTTTTTTCTGTCTGCCTTTTCTACCCAACAGGACAACTTCAAATTTGGAGAAAAGCACATCCTTATGTATGCAGAGAAGCAGATTGGTCACAGCCCACCTGTATACAGAACACTGACCTTGCTTGCAGCTACTGATTATAACCACCAGAACCGCAGACTTCCTGCTCGAAACCGTGATGGACACAAGATGTAAGTATTTAGTATAACAGTTGTCTAACATATAAATGTATTGTTGCTGTTACCTAAACAGTTTTGAAAATATGAAACCACTCTAATACAAAATAATATTATTGTCCAAGGTCCTGAAATTGCTGCAATAAAAATCAAAGAGCTGGAGTGTGAACGCCTTAAAAGAGACAAAACTACGGCCAAAGAAAATTCAAAGATGAACGGGCCTTCCCACAAAAGAGTCTGGTGCTGATGATCAGCAGGCATCACCCACAGCTGACCTTTACTCACATTTCACAGGGAGAAGCTGCTCCTAAACTTTCTGCCTGCCTGTATCTACAGCTGTGCATCATCAGAGCTCAGGTCCATCATAACAAAGCTCCAGGATAGTGTAGACCCCAAGCAGCTGAATGTTTAAATAAGTGCCCAAATGTGCTTTTGTGTTTAAGATTGTATTTGTATAGAAAGTCAATGTTTGTCTAATAAATAACTATTTTATCTTGATCTCTTTAGCTTTTCCTTCTTATTATATTATCCTATTTTATTATTACCTTTGTTGTTATTGTTCTGCCCAATGGTGATCACTTGAATTTTGAAACCTTGATAAAGTTTTTGTTATTTGGTAAATATAAATAAGAAGACAGAACTTAAAATCAGTGGGCAATGCACACAATTACTAATTGTTATAACCATTACCAGTACAGGACAATTACAGGTAATAAATACAATCACAACAATAGAGTAGAAGAAAATGATATCTGTTTTATTATGTAAACTGGTCAAAACAAAAGACTTCAAGGAACTCAACATACAAACTCAACCTGAAATGGCACAAAAATACTGAACAAAGCCACAACAGGTATTTACAAGTCTGTAAGACACATTTTTACACAAGGCAGCACACCCTGTAGCCAGGATACTGTACTTGGGAAAGAATCTCTGATTTTCCAGACGCTGCAGCTTTGATTCATAAATCTGTTTCCCAAGCAGCCATGCTATCATAACACACATTGTCTATATGCTGCAGGCCTGTGACGCTACTCCACTCCGGGCTCCTGCTCATCACTGATGGCGAGTTGAAGTTTAAGTTGAATCCTGGAATAAAAGGAAAACCGATGTTGAAAAACAAAAACCTCATACACTTATTACATATACATGGACTAGTTATAATATTGCCCAAACAAGTCGGTATTATGATCCTTCTCACGTCTAATGGCAAAGCAACTATTAGATGACAGAATGAACATACTTGCAGATTATGTATAACAGATTTAGACATAACGTGAGGCTGCATCATTTCCGGTGTCATCGTCTCACGTTTAGCAGCTTTACCAGGAGCAGAAAGTTACAGAAGTTATGTCTCCGGTTTGAAAACAAATAGATAAATTTATCCATCTTACGTTGTCTCCAAAAACTTTATAAGCTTACAATCCAATAACTATCATGTATACATATACATATTTAGCTACGGCCTATAGATATCATGGTCACAGTTGAATACATATACTCATACTAAACATCGGACGGCAGACATCCAGGTTTTATCAAAATCTGGTAATATTACTGTACCTTTTGAGTCGACATGGTTCTTTATCTTCTCACGGCGTCTGTGCCGGCTTCCTCACCCTCTGCTTGTCAACAAATGCACGTTGTTTCAGATGGGAAGTGTAACCGTTTTACGACAGTGCAGATGCACCCAGAGACCCGCTGTTGGCGCCAAAGCGCACCAAAACTGAAAAGTTACATATTAAGGGCTTTAAGAAAGCCTTTTGATAATATATTATTAATATAAAGCATTTATTTAAATCTTTGAAAAACACACTGAGAAGGAGAGTCTCATTTAATAAATAGTGATGAAGTCATCGGCATGAGGCAGCAATTCAGAGAGAGAGAGTGAGAGTTTGTTTTGTCCTGATAATTCTCTCTGCAGAAACAGAAACAATGGGTATCAGGCTGTCCTCGCTCAAATATGACATCACTGCTGTCCTCTGTCTCGTGATGTAACTGGATAATGTCGGTGTGCAGAAGGAGACTATATGGAAAAGCCACACGGAAAGAAAGACTCTACTTCATTCTTTGAATACAAAATTTGGTGTTTTTGTAAAATGTACTTTGTCTCTCTTTGTGTCTTTGTCTGTAACTTTAGCCCCATTTCCACCAAACAGTCCGGTTTGGTTCAATACAGTTTGGTTCAGTTCGGTATGGTAAACCCTGATCATGCATGCGAGTGTAATCCAGATGGAGATAGCCACGTCAGCTATGCAACAGTGTGACATCATAGCAGCCCAACACAGTGTAGCCCGCTATTAATTAAGTTCAACGAAGAAAAAGAACGGGACACAATAAACAAGGGTCCCTTTAGGATTGGATTGCTACCCTTGGCACCCCAACAGAAGGGTACCAAAAAAGTAGGACGGTACAGATCCCTTATTTTGGTAACATTCACAGCCGCTTGGTTGAAACAGGGCTTTTGTGTTTTTACTGCTGCATGTCTTGGCCAGGTCTCCCTTGGGAAAGAGGTTCTTAAAGGTCCCATATTATGCTTTTTCTGGTTGTTTATGCTCTTTAGTGTGTTTTCCAAGTGTCCTGTACATGTTTAGGCACATCTATTCGCAAAAATTCTAAGTCTGCATAAACGCGGCTTCTCCTATGTCCTCCTGTTAGCTGTATATAAGCCGCATGTAACGCTCGGTTCTAGCCCCCCTTGATAAAGATTTGTCAGTCCAACGTCATTGTCAGTGTGAGATCACTGATCTAAGCCGATTGGCTCGTTGTGGCAAACCCAGCAGCTCATGTTGCAGGCCCATTAACTTCTGTAGCACACCCACGATATACCGTAGCCTGCAGTAGCACAGTAGTGCTAAGGTGCTAATGTTTATGCTCTCCTCGGACGGAGCCATTCCCAATATGGTAAAAGAGGCGGGACATTTCCGAGAACCGTGCTGAGCAACTGACCAATTACGACCAATCAGATCAGACTTGGCACACGTGGGGACTCTGACCGTGGGCACTTCAGAGCCTTAGAGAGAGAGTCAGAAGCGAGCTGGTGCATGGAGCGGCACTACATAAAAACAGACACTTTTTTCGAAGTTTAGCTATTGTGAACATACTTTAGTAGGTACATAGATTAAATATATGAACCCCAAAAAGGGCATAATATGGACTCTTTAATCTCAATGAGATCAAGACCAACCTTGTTAAATAAATACAAAAATAAACAAAAATATTCTGTTTACTGAATTGCATTTTGAACATCCTCCGAGGAGCTCATGTCCTAAGTTTGATAAATCTACTTCCTGCTTTCTTACAGTGCAGACGCTTTTCTTCTTGCTCTCTGCTTTGCTTACATTCTTTTGCTGATATCTTCTTTTTTCTAAACCTAATTTAATCGACAGCCTGGACATTTCCAAATCCTCAGGACTGTATTTTTTGATAGATACAGGAGGTCTTTAGCCATATTTTTAACATTTTTTGACCTCTGCATCGCTACACGACTGTGGCCTGACAAGAGCACAAGCCTGTGCCGCAGTACTTTGAAACGCTGTACACAGCTAAAGCTAATCAACAACAAGATGCCACCCTTCTCCAAGGACGATTACCACAAACTTCTTCAGAAAATTGGAGACAAAGATGAATCGCCTAGAAGTGAATGTGGAAGTGAACGGACTGTGCCGGAATGACACCACATTACCACTAACTCAGAACAGTGGACAAGAGCAAGCTAACACACAGCTAAGGAGCACAGAGTCTACAAAGACAAAGGTGGGATCTGTATTGGCTAATAAGTCTACAAATGGTAGTCCTCCTTGGAACTGTCTTGGTGCTAAGAAGAATAAATAATTTATCTGGGAAATGGGAGGACGGATAACAGGCAGAGCACAGCGAGCTGAGATATGTGATGAGACCGGCTGGCCTGCACTACCTCCCCTGCAAAGTGCCTCTTCAACCCCTGTATCTAGAGGGACACAGCCGTGGACAGGTGAAGGGGAAAGTTAGGAACAAACCTGCCCCACAAACGAATGTGGAATTACAGAACCGATATTCCCCTCTGTTGCAGAGCCCTGGATCTTCATCTGGTTCTCCATCCTCAGACACCAGGGTAAGGACTGAAAGCATATCAAAAAGTAAAAGGCTACAGGGAAAGCTAAAGCCTGGGCTTGAAACTCTGATTGTGGGTGACTTTGCTGTTAAAGATGTACAAAGGATTTGCAGTAAAAACACAGAAGTACTGTGTTTTCCCAGAGATATGGTTTCTGATTTAGCAGAAAGGATCCTGCATATTGTGGCTGAACATCCGACTGTGAAGAATGTCATACTGCACATTGGGTCAAATGATGTCACAAAACAACAATCTGAAGTCAGGTCTGCTGAACATGGTCAGCCCCTTGGATGTGGATGTGTTTATCAGCGGCCCCATACCACCAGTCAGAACAGCAGAGGAGAGATTCAGCAGGTTGTTGGCGCTGAATAACTGGCTTCAGGCATCTTTTTAAAGCAGATGGTTTTGCCTGAACATGTCAGGAGTGAAACTGTTCACCTCTAACCTATTTTACTCCCTGCTTCAAACATCAGTTCTCTCTGCCAAGGACATGAGACAAAAGAAAACAGCTTTCAAAAAAGACAAAACACAGCGGGATGAAAACCTTCGTCAAGAATCACGTCTGCCAGTATCTGAGGAGAGACCTAAAGAGGAGAGACATCGGAACCAAGAGGAGGGGTCTCCACCCACCTTCGACCCCCTCACCAACACCAACACCTGTAAAGTCTCACCGCCCTTGCCCCCTTGCCCCCTTGAACCCCGATCAGATCATCATCTTCCTCCCTAATCACCCTATCTCCCTCCTCCCCCCACCTGGAGTTCACTGACTAGATGAAGGAGCTGGTCAATGCTGGATTAAAAAGTACCCCCCGCCCTTCTCCCTTTTTCTCTCCCATAAACATCCGATGGCGCCCACCTTCGCCCGTTCCGACAAGGCTCTCGACCCCTTGCTGGTGATTTTAACATCCATGTTGATAACCCCCAGGACAGAGGGACTAAAGAGCTGTGGTACACTCTTGATAGCTTTGCGCTGACTCAGCACATGACAGAGCCCACACACAACACAAGGCCCACTCTGGACTTAATCATCTCAAAGGGCATGGACATCTCCAAGGTTGTTGTTTCAGATGTTGCCCTCTCTGATCACTCCTGTGTTTTATTTGAGAGTACTATCTCAGTGTACATAAGTATTCAAAAGTGATCACAAAATGGTATGTCACTGAAAACACCAGCAAAATGTTTAACCAGGTTTTTTCTTCCACACCTGCCCTTTCTTGGGGCTCAGTCAGTGAGTTGGTAGATACCTTCAATTCTAAAATCACAAATGTTATGGATTCCATTGCTCCCACTAATGTGAAGGTTGTCTCTGGTAAGAAAAAATCTCCATGAAGAAATTCGACACTGGCAAGAAACGGAAAAAGAGATTGTCGAAAAGCTGAACACAGGTGGCGTAAAACTTATGACATCTACAAAGAGAGACTTCACATTTATAATTCACAACTGAGAAATGCAAGGCAATCTTTCTTCTCTGACATCATCACCAGAAATAATAATAATAATGCTTGTACCCTGTTTGCTACTGTGGACAGGCTAACGAACCCTCCAGTGTCAATAGCATCTGAATTTCATTCTACCAGGGCCTGTAATAAATTTTCCACCTTTTTTACTGAAAAAATCCAGAAAATTAGACAAACTGTCAGTAACTCAACATCAGGATCAGGATATGTGCTGTGTCCATATAAAACCAACTTAAGCACCATGACACAATTTAATCAAATCAACCTTAAAAACCTGGAGGACAAAAAGTTTCCCAAGTCATGACTCCAGATCTGTTACAAATTGTAAACCTGTCTCTTCTCTCAGGTGTCTTCCCACAGGCCCTGAAGTCAGCAGTCATCAAAGCCACTATTAAAAAAGAACAATCTAGACAAGTCAATAATGAACAATTGCAGGCCTATATCAAATCTTCCTTTTTTAAGTAAAATAATAGAAAAAGCTGTTTTTCAACAGTTAAATAACTTCTTGTCATTGAGCGACTGTTTCGATGTCTTCCAGTCAGGTTTTAGACAAAATCACAGCCCTGAGACAGCTCTGGTTAAGGTGTTTGATGACATCCGTTTAAACACAGACAGTGGAAAACTTGGAGGAAGTTTCTGGCACAGTACTAAACTGGTTTGAATCCTACTTAAAGGACAGGGACTTCTTCGTGTCTATAGGTAACTTCAAATCTGAGCAAACAAAACTTACTTATGGAGTTCCCCAAGGTTCCATCCTGGGGCCTCTTCTGTTTAACGTCTACATGCTCCCACTAGCTCACATTATAAAAAGCAATAAAATAAGTTATCATAACTACGCAGATGACACACAAATATATATTACAATGTCGCCAGGCAACCATGGTCCCATAAAAGTACTGGGTAAATGCATATAACAAATCAATGAGTGGATGTGCAAACATTTTCTCCAGCTAAACAAAGACAAAACTGAGGTTGTTGTTTTTAGAGCAAAGGAGGAGCGACTAAGAATCAGCCTGCAGCTTCAGTCAGTAAGACTGAAAACCACAGACCAGGCAAGGAATCTGGGCGTAGTGATGGACTCAGACCTCAATTTTAAAGGCCACATTAAGACAATTACAAAATCAGCCTACTATCACCTGAAGAACATATCAAGAATCAGAGGACTCATGTCCCAGCAGGACTTGAAAAAACTTGTCCATGCTTTTATCTTCAGTCGTCTTGATAACTGTAACAGTGTCTTTACAGGTCTGCCTAAAAAATCAGTCAGACAACTGCAGCTGACCCAGAACGCTGCTGCTAGAGTCCTCACCAAGACCAAGAAAATGGATCACATCAGTCCAGTTCTGAGGTCTTTACACTGGCTCCCAGTCTGTCAAAGAATAGATTTTTAAATCCTGCTGCTGGTTTATAAAGTGCTTAAATGGTTTAGGGCCAAAATACATTAGTGACCTCCTGATTAATTACGAACCATCCAGACCGCTCAGGTCGTCTGGGACAGGTCTGCTCTCTGTCCCCAGAGTCAGAACCAAACATGGAGAAGCAGCATTCAGTTTCTATGCTCCTTATATCTGGAACAAACTCCCAGAAAACTGTAGGTCTGCTGAAACTCTCAGCTCTTTTAAATCGAGGTCAAAGACACACTTGTTTACAGCTGCCTTTCATTAAACAATTTAAAAAAGATTTTAAACTCTAATTTTGCACTGTAACTTTTAAGTATTTTTATATTTTTACTTTATTTATTTCAATTAATTTCATTTTAATTTATTTGAACATATTTTCAGATTTAATCATTTCAGTGATTTTTTAATTTTCTATTTTAATGTTTCTTTTCTTTCCTCTGTCATGATGTTTTTGATGTCTTGTGTGAAGCACTTTGAATTGCCTTGTTGTTGAAATGTGCTATATAAATAAATTTGCCTTGCCTTGCCTTAAATTCATGCGTGACCGTTCTATTTCTCATGCTGTCAGTATTTGTAACTCAAACATCCTACTTTCAAATGTTCGATTCGGAGTGTAAATGAAGTAAATGACTCACTCTTGAATGCGGGGTACATGGGCACGATGTTCGTGATGAGCGAAGAGTCGTATCTGGACTCTGGAGACGACGCCAACTCTGTCAACAACAAAAGAATAGTACTGTTAAAAAATAGTTACACTACAAAGCATGAAACTGATGTGTTGCACAATGGGTAAATATACTCCATACCTTTAAACATACAGTTAATAAAAAAACAGCATTAATTTTCTTATTAACCATGTAACATTACATAACATTACAAATATATTGCGCATAATATAATGTACATAAATTATATGCACAATTGTGAATTAGAATAAAAAAAAACAGCAAAGAACACATTCTAGTCACAGGAGTAAATAATTGGTTTAATTTACAGTACTATAAAATAATATCTGGGTTTGTACATTTATATTTTGTCTGCAGAGCCCCCTGTGGTTTTTCTGCTGGGTTTACCTGGCGGGAACAGGAAGCCGTGGGTGAGGTGTGAGTTTTGGTTGTAGGTGGTGCAGCTCTGACTGTGTTCAGCTGATATTCTGGAGTCCACTCGGATACACTGAACACCTGGAGAAACTTCTGGAACAGGGGTCAAATCCTCCTGGAAGACAAGGACTTAGGCTTAGACAACTTTATTTATCCCAGAGGGCAATTCGATTCCACAGTCCACCCAGACCATGCATACATTTACAAACAAACAAACAACAGCAGGAGATTAATCAGAGACAACAAGCAAATCAGTATTTGACAAAGGTGAGCGTTTGCACACTGATACCCTCGTGTGGTCTCCCTGGGCAATGACACCCACAAGGGCCAGACAAGAAGCACAGCGCAAGAACAACAGTAATAAATAAGTCAATAAATAAATAACCAAGATATTCAAGGATGCGCCATGGTCACATTGTGGAATACATTTAAGTAATGTTCATACAGGGCCCTGGAGCAGAAGTCACAGGTATAAACCACTTATCGTTGAACACGAGATCAAGGAACAGGACAACCAATGGATCAACATAATATTCTGTTTGGATAAAAAATAATATGTGTTCTGTAAAAAATAAGGTTATGATGTGGATGAAAGAGTAGGAATAACATTTTATGGGATCAAAAATAAAAGTGACATTGGTATAAAAACCCAAATGGATTATGTGATTTGGGTGCCATAATGTTGAGGATAATTTCTGTGAGTATTTTCTTTGAGCCGACTGTGTTGATTGAAATGTGTGAGTCCCATGTGTGAGAAGCTACACCTTGTAAACCTGCAGCATGCTCCTGAAAACATGCCAACGTGTCCAGTATTAGAGACACAGACTCTGTGTTCACTCGTGTTGTTGGTCATGTTTTTCAGTTTGTGCAGCTCAGCCATGTTCTTCCCCGACGCCCTGTCACACGCTATAAACAACAACAACGTCATGGTGTGTCAATAACATGTTCTGTGTCAGACTTTTAAAACCTGAAACTCAGTTTAACAGCATGAAGGAACGAAAGCCAGCGGCTGAATGCTGTCTGGTAGAGAGGGGGAACTTTTGATTGAAATATTGTGTACCCAAACTTTATTATAATCTGACAGGAAGGTAGTATTTCTAAACGCAAAGAATGGTGTTTGTTAGTTGAATTATTAAAAAGTTAAAATGGAAAATGGCAATGGAAAAACGGGATTTAGGTAAATCACGGAAAGGGAAAATGCAGGTGAATGCAGGTAAAAAGTGTGTGTCCAACTTTACTAAATGAAAAAATAAAAAAGTATTTTGCAGTACTCTTATGTGCCTGTATACAGTGTTTCGTTTCTTTCGAGACACTACCTGACCGCCATATGCTCCTTCACGACTGATCTGCTGCACCTCTGGGCGGACTACAAAACCTCAAGTCAAGCTCCTCCCCCTCTCTCTCAATCTGCAGCCAGACAGAAGCATGGTTTCAGCCACCATTTCTCCCTTCACCTGAGATTTCTGTCTAACCTTGTCAGGAATAAGGATGATTTTTTGCAGACAAAGTGTTGTTGACTCCTTGATGTTGCTTCCCCTGAGCCAGGGGTCATAACTATACAAAAACAACTTGTGTTTAAAGTAAAAATGCAGTATTCCGAGAAATATTAAGATTTAAATATCTTTTCTATTTTTAGGTGTTGTCAAAATAACCTGAAACGGAGGTCCTCCCTTTGTTATTACAAACTAATAGTCTTCTGTGGATCATATTTACATGTATTTGTGTCTTTATACCTGCCCACACAGAGGACCCCACTATTTATTTTCAAACAAAGTCCTCAGTTTGTCATAAAGAAAGGTATATTTGTGTGTTTGTACCTGTCGCGGTATTGTGTACGCTGTCCAAAGAGGCATAGCCAGCTCTTTGCTGTATCCACTGATGAACTCCACGTGATGAAGCAAACTGTACTGCGTGTCAAACATCACTGCTGGGCGACCAAACGGGAGGTGAGTACTATCTGTACAAAAAAAAAAAAACACAAACACACAAACAATTTATTTAAAGTCTGTCCAATTGATACCTTTTTCCCAATCATCGTATTAAAAGACGGACAGCAAAACAGTTGCCCAAAAGTGGACCTAAAATATGTCCCCCAGTTGACTATCTTCAGAAAATTGTATAAGCTCCGCCTCCTCCACAATGCCACATCGAATCACGCGTCAAATATATGCTTCTCAAACATGGTTATTAGAGTTAGTTCAAATCATACTGATTCATGTCCAAGTGTTCATTGATCTGAGAAGTTCATCTTTAATTCGTTATTTGATGATATCAGAGGAAAATAACTCCATGATTGACAGCTCTGTTGACAAATGAGACTCCTGCTTTGCTGTGTGCTCCAGATCATTAGAGTAGAGGAGGAAAGGTGAAAACTAACTCAGGAGTCAGTGAACTTTCCATAATCGCGAGTGTCTGCTTCAAATCGACACAAAAATCTGTTTTGCTGTGGACTGTATCCACCTGAGCGACCTTTGACCTTTTATCAGGAAGTTGAATGTTCAAATGTGTGTTTTAGTTAGAGGAAGGGGCGGGACGTCATTACCCCGTCACAGCTTTAGTAATACAGGAGGAGGTGCAGACACTTTGCCAATCTTCATACGCGGTCTATGCTTCTGACACCTTTAAAGTTATAAATCTTGCTGCTTTGTAATTAGGGCTGTTAAAAGACTTTCCACCGCTTTGTTTCAGTACAGTTTGGTTCAGTTTGGTACGGTAAACCCTGAACTTGTTGACTGTTCCATTATTTGGTTAGCAGAGTGTAATCCAGATGGAGATAGTCGCGTCAGCTATGTAACAGTGGGACATCATATCCGCTCAACACTGTGTAGCCCGCAATTAATTAAGTTCAACGAAGAAGAACGGGACACAATAAACAAGGGACCCTTCAGCGTTGGATCGGTACCCTTGGCACCCAACAGAAGGGTTCCTTATTTTGGTAACATTCCCAACTTTTGACAATGGAAACGACAATAAATGTTTACCGTAACGAACCGAACTGAACCGGACCACTTGGTGGAAACGGGCCTTCAAAAGGCTACTGTATTCATCCTTAAACTTACTGTAGCTGTAGATTCCATCTGGTGCTGGAGTGAAAGCTTCAATGACCTCCTCCACTTTGTTCTGTAACAGAAAAACACAAATTGCTGCCGGGTGGATTTACATTAATTAACACAACTTGTTTTCTGTTATTCGACACGTTTAAAATACAATGTGGCTAGCTAAAAATCTGTGAAGAGGTTTTGCGTTGTCAAACTCAACCTCATCATCACAGCTGCAGCCCAGGTCATGGGTGACGAAGGCTTCAGGGTCAGAGGCCGGGGACGGTTCAGTCACTTCCTCTGGCATGACGGGATGGAACGGCGGATCTTTCAGCATATCGTTCAAGCTGCCGTGCGTCCCGTTGTTAGGAGCTGGCTTCAACCCCAACAAGTCTGACGGGCGCAAGCAGAATTCAAATGATTTTGACAACCTAGTTTCCGTTATTTCGTTAACAATAGTAACCACGTTTACCACCCACTTTTGTAACAAGATAGTAAGGTTTATTCAAACAACAATCATGCATGTTTTGTGATTTTTCTTTCTACTTCACCAATCACATTTGTGCTTCAGCCCGGCACAGAGCAACTGGGCCCAGTGTGAGTGTGCCCTAAGACAACATACAGTTAAACTCCACACCATTTAATCAGAAGTTATAATTTTCTTACCACACATGACGTTGTATAATTCTATATTTTCAAACTCTGGTACTCTTTTCTGGAACTTGAAGCTTGGTCCATGACCCATGAATATGGTCTGCATGAAGAAAAGAGGAAAATATTCACTTTACTCCCAGAGAAATAAAATGTGCTCCGTCTGAATCTCTGCTTAGCCTGGATTATAATGAATACAAAGCAACAGTAGCTAAACAAAGAGGCTGGTGTGTGTGTGATTAGAGAGATTCATGCAGTACAATATAAAGTTAGATATCTGGAAAAGATCATCGAGCGTCTGTGTCTACAATTTTTTCACAGCACAAAAGCTAAGCATAGTAAATGTAGTAGAAATAAAGTATATCCTCTGAAAATAACTCTGTGAGTCATGACTGTCAACAATGAGTGTAACACCCGAGTCCTGCTGTCTGTGATGTTTTCCGAGCCATATCTACAGCGTGTTTACATCGCCAGGACGGCCAGCCGGCTCATCCCCTTGCGTATAAAAGTTGTTTAATTGAGGGACTAGAGAAAAGAAGAATAACATACTGTACTCACTGATTATTTGAATGTCACGTAAGCGTTTTTAGATCACGGTCATTTCTTGTAAATTTACATGCAGTGTGAAGCTACGCGGATAATAAAGATCGCTAGCTTTAGCATGCTAACACAACAATGTGGCGCGAGTTGTTTTGGTTTCATGCGTGTGCTCAAGGGCGACATCTGCTGGATCAAAAAATATTCTTCCTTTGATGAAACAAAACCAACTGTGTTCAGTAGAGTTAATTTTTAAAGTTATATATATATATATATATATATGTACACCAGTTAAAGCTTATGTTTTAGAGTGTTTTATGGTATACAAATATAATATAATACATTTTATTTCATTTTTTAATTCATATAGAAGTATAAAGTGAAAGAAACCTTCATGCTGGTGATCTTGTTGTCAAAGCCGTGGTCGCCAAAGAAACCACATCGAGTCCTCATTTTTTCTGGCATTTTCCTAAAGAAGAAAACAAACTGTTGAATATAAGAGACTATAGGAACAGAATAGGAATAATTAATGCTGAGATATAATTTGTATCTGATGGTTAGGGTGCTTTGTTTATAAATTGTTGTTTTATGGAGTGGATTTCTGAACTCCATTTTTAAAAACGTGCTATTCATCAGAGTTATTTATTTCAACTGTTATTGATATGAAAACATAAATGCATCTCAGTTTACCTGGCAATGTGCCACTTCCTCTCCATCAGCAGCTGGACGTCCTCGATCCTGCGGTTGTTGGCATAGTGAAGCCTCTTGGGTAAATGCTGCTTCAGGTACGGCTTGAAGTGCTGAGTCGGCATTTTACACTGAAAGCAGCAGACGCAGGGTTGAATGACCTCACCTACCTCTCTCACTCTCTTTATTGCTTTCTCAAACAAACACACACACAGCTACCAGAATCCGGACTGATTAAAGGGAAGATGGCGTTTGTTTTGAGTCGTGACTCGGTGTTTTGTTGTTGTACTCACAGTGAGGTTTGCAACCACAACTTTCGGGTCATCTGGAAAGAAAAACGTGTCTGAATGACGCTAGTCTCCTTTAAATACAAAAACAACCTTTTTCCACTATTATACCAAAAATAGCCACTCTTACATGTGGTTGATTTGGGGTCTCGGGGTCGTATTCTGCCCACCGAGCCCGGGACGAGGTTGATCTCTTCGATGTTGAGTGGGTAGCTGCTGAGAAACTCTGTCCAATCACAGTGAGCCTCCTCCATACCTTAAGGACAGAAAGGGACAGCCAGTGTTATGTTAATCTTAACTTCGGAGTATAAAAAAAAACAATATTAGTTTTGTTTGAGCTGTTGCATTGCGTCCTTTCAGTGTTGGAAAACGTAAAAGCAATCAATCTTTTCAGAAACAACATCTACAAGTGGCTGTGGCTCAGTGGTAGAGACAGTTGTCTCTCAACCAGAAGATCGAGGATTCAATCCCCAGCTCCTGCAGCAACATGTCTGATGTGTCCTTGGGCAAGACACTTAAGTTGTGACATGCAGTGTAAAAGCACTATATAAGCTCAAGTCCATTTACCATTACAAAAAGTGGTCATTATTATTCTTATCATTATTTTTTTCCGACCACTAGCAGGCCTTAGTACATAACAAACGTTCATTAAAGGTATATATGCAACTTTCAGAGTAGTTGTCCAGTGGATGTGACACCTTAACTCCAGTCTCTCAAACCAAAACAAAGCTTTCCCTTTGGGGTACCATTTCCTGTCCACATTTTATTCTTTTTTGCATCATGGCTGTCAGCATTAACGAGTTAATCACGATCAATTGACGTCTGAAATGAATGCATTCATTTTTTGTAATCACGATTAATTTCATGTTATTTTGTCCCTTCATGCTCCCTGTAGATAGTCGTCCTCAGTGTCTCCCTGTAGTCTCAGTGATGTAAAAGGAGGACACTGCTGCATCTTTGAATGTCTCATCAGACAGCTCAGCTGACGAGTCCAAAGTAATATCCGCCTTATGACATCACACATTGACCTTTGTTACCGTTCCTTTGAGCTGTTTGACATCAGTTTGGGATCCCTAACCACTTCCTGTGTCGGAGCTTAACTTCCTGTCCTAACCTTCACTCTACCAGAATTTACTTACTTTATTTCAAAATAAAAGCACACAGGAAGTAAAGTACTATCAGCTTAAGACAGCCCATACATTCAAAATAAAAGTCTACATTTTTTTAATATAAAAAAATGGAATTATGACAATTGTTATCATAATTTTTATAACTTAAATAATAACAGCCAGGTTTTCTACTCTTGTGGTGGGGGAGGGGATTTGTTCATACCATGATCTCCTACGATAATGACGTTGATGCAGCGGTGCAGGTTCATTTGCTTCAGACCGTTCATCAGCTGGCCGATGATGTTATCGATCTCCCTCAGAGGATTATCTAACTAAAAGTGAAAAATCAAACTATTATCAAATGTAATAAAGCCGAACTCCTCCATCCAACATGAATAAATCTTTCATAAGCTTCAGTCTGTTTTCACGCTCACCTCACTGCTGAGCGGCCCCAGGCGATGTCCGAAGGTGTCAGGCTGCTCCGAGTGGACGGCGTAAACATACGGCCTGGAGAGAGAAGACACACATCAGAGAATCAGGATTTTCACCTCAGAAACGGTTCAGGTGAGAGAGACTGTTTTTTTAAGGTCAGTAGGATGAGTAAACAAGATAAAAACCTTCTCTGAGTTTTTTTCTGGCAGCGAGCGTCTCACCTGAACTCACACTAATCCCTACTCACTGCTGTGAACAGCTCGTAACCCTTTCACTGACCCGACATCTCCTCCAGAATACAAACCAACTTCATCCTCAGGTCTTTGAGAGACACTTCAAAACTCACAAATCCCCACTGCTTAAAAACACTGACTGCCAGCTCCTGTGTCAGCATGTGGACTCAAATGTCTGTCATTGGTTGAACTTTGTCTTTATCTCTGCCAATTATTTTGTCTTATTCCATTTTTACTGTTTTTTTTATTTTGCTTTTCAAAGACTCTTTTATCCCTGTCATTTTTTACGGAGCCCCTTAGGAGACATGAAAAAAGTTTCATGTGTTCATTAGAAAGTTTCAAGAGAAAAATAAGTACCAAAACTACAGAGACCAACCTCTCATCATCGGGAAGTTGCAGCCAGCGCAGGATGGTCAAAATCCTCCTCTCCAGTGGAATCACCCTGACGATGAAAAAACCCACAAGACTGGATGATAAAGGAGTTCAAAAATATAGCTACTGCATAATGAAAGCATACACAAAAAAGACTTTCAAAGATTCTTTACAGCATATACTTTGATACCCAACTTACCAGAGCTAACAGGAAAAATTGTGATAAATGATCAAATGAAAATGAATAATAGTCGGATGTCTGTCTTTAACTTGTCTAACTTTAACTCTAAGGGCTTCTACAAGTTGGTGTTTCTGCCTCTTGGACTCGTCAATGGGCGCTGTTGTTTCCGAGTGTGTGTGGGGGTATTGTTCTTTGTATGTGTGTGTGTTTATATAAAGTGTGTTCAAAGCCATTGTCAGTCTGAAGGATGTGGCGAGCCCTCGTGACCACGCAGTCACTGATATTCAGACGTGTTTGAAAGTCATCTGTCTGTGGGGAGTCAGTGAAAGGATGATTTATATTCCTGCTCGTTAAGTTAATGGGAATTAAAATCAGTCTAATCCAACCAACAAAGAACTGTTTTGGTATTTGACCGATGCAGTTATTTTATTTTTTTATTACTTTGGTTACATTTTAAGGGATTTCCCATTTTCAGCTTTTTAGAGCTTTGTTAAACACGTTAGTCACCCAGTCCTGCTACTCTGGGTCTTTTGTCCTCGTCCTTGTAAACATGGCCTCAGCTTTTGGCCGTTGTTCAAATATCTCTCCGTGCTTCTTGGAAACCCATAAAGTCAAGTTCAATGAAGCATTAGCATTAGCATACGTGCTTCTTTGTTAACCTATCACATCATTTTGTCAGCTCTTAAAAATACTTTTTGTTAATTTGGTGGATCCATGTTGGGTTTCTGTTAATAACATAAAGAGTACAGTATAGTAAAGTTTTCCAAATACCAGAATTTAAACTTCGATATTTCATTCAAGTGAATGTTTTGATGCCACTGCAACGAAAACAGAAGTCCTAGACGCCCAATATTGTATAATTTCTTGTTTTCAATTACCAGGACTTGCAGGATAACTTCTGCACACGGTCTAAATTGCAGAAAAATATGGCAATGTATTTCTGCAATTTAGTTTGTGATATATTTTCACTGCTTAAAACATTTTTGAGGAATGCATATTTTAAACATGACATAACCTGTACTCTACTCCCAGCTCTACACTGGACGTCCTGAGAGGTTTTTTTCCAGTAACTGGTGCAGTACTGCGTTCAGTGTCTGAGGCTATTGAAAAATATTCCAGTACCAACTTAAGTACCAAGGCCAGAAGAATGTGCCTGCTTTCACTCCTTGTTCCTGTGCGGTGATCCAGATCTGTAAAAAACAAAGTAAAAGAGGTTATGAGGAAGTGAACGAGTAACCTGCAGACCCAGCAGCACCTGTGTGCTCGGTGGTCTGTCCACACCATATGGCTTTTGCTCTGTCCGATGGCGCCAACACCCAATGGAACCATTTGTTAACCATGAATATTTTTTTCTTTTCACGTTCGAGCTGGAACTGGTTCAAGTGCTCAATCCAATCACAAGCCGGTATTCAGAGCGTACTCACAGGCTGTCCGCCCCACCAGCGATGGTTCAGTTTCTCTCTGGTACGCAGGCTGAAGGTGGCGTTAAACACCGGGTCGTGCATGGTGTTACCCACAATCCCATGGGACTCTGGGTAAAGGCCCTGCACAGAAACATGCAGCAGCGTCACAACATGACTGAAAGCAAACATGTATGTTGACTTAACCTACAAACATGAGAGAACATGTTCACTGTCCTGCTGCACTCATGGGGGTTTCACTCACCGTGGCCAGCGTGTATAAATTAGGGAATGTCTTTGACGGATAGACGGGTCTCATGTACGGTGCGGCTGTACCACACGTTCCTGAGAGGAAACAAATGTTCAGTTTTATTCTTTAGAAGGTTTTGGAAATGAAATGACAAAATGATGTTCTCCCAGCCCACAGCAGTGTAACAGAAAAGACCAAATAAATCAGAATATCGTAAACAACACTGTTAAAGAAACAATCAAACAGCTTTGGTCAAAGAATAAATTGAGACATCATGAACAAACACAACGGTTTCCTGACGTACTGAGCTTCTGTATGTTGGGGATGACAGAGTTGCCCTTCTTCAGGTAGGAGGCTCTGAACCCGTCGACAGACAGCATGATGAGCGGAGGACGGATGAAGCTGAGCAGAAAGAGGAGAAAAAGAGCAAATTCACCTGCTGCATGTGAAGGATATAGAAAATGGTACAGTAGTATCTAGTTTTCAGATTCTTACAGAAGTTGGCCTTTAAGAGAAAAACTCTCCAATATAATAAAAGTAAATATTTAATCGCAGCTCGTTTTTAACGGCTCTCACTTTCCGGTGTTTCATAGTTTGACGTCAGACTCACCCTGCAGGGCATTCAGGACTCTTGATCTCCTCACAGTCGCCCTGCACCCACGAAGTCTCACCTCACATGGAAACATGAGCACAGAGTCGTTACCTGCTGTGTGCACAATCATTCTCACTTGCTCATTGTTGCATAACGTGTCTCTTGGTGAGTACCTTTGCACAGCGACTTGTAGTTGGAGCAGCAGTCCCCTCTCTCCAGACAATCCTCTGAGCAGTGACAGGCGTGATCATCATTCCTCTCCTCCCCGCAGCGATCCGGCATGCATTCAAAGCCCCCCGCTGAGACACAGGAAGGCGGAGAGCTCATGATCCATTTCTTAATTACAGAAGTCTTTCAAATCCTAACAATGAAGCCGACAACCTCATAAAAAGCAGCATGACTGAACACGCTGAGCGGTGACTAATTACAGCTCAGGCACCAACGGTCTGTTAGAAATTAGCAGATTATAGGAAAGCAGAGCTTGTTAGAAGCACACAGCAGTAGCTTATGGTTGGAGAAAACAACAACAATCATCAGATTGTTTGGTTTTGGAAAACGTCCCAGCCTTGTGTGCTTAATGTGTTCAAGATGCAGTTTTACTCTCGCTAAGCCAACGTCTAAACCAGTATCAGATGAAAATCTCAACAATTTGGCAGCTGCCTTCTGTCCACATAGCACTCATCATGTTGAGTACGCCGAGCTTTCTAAGCACTTGACCTGCTAGAGTACATCTAAGTACTATTACAAACTTTGGTGGTGGTAAACATCAAACCTAACAGAAAAGCACAGCTTGATATCACTGATATTAGCAGGAGATGTGTCCAAGATGTGCACAAAACAAATAAAAGAATAAACTTGGAAGTATTCCACAACAAACTTGTTTCTTACTACGGCCTTTGCAAACAACAAAATCAGAAAATAATCATCCATATAACATTTCTAAAAGCGCTTAGATAAGGACTAACAGGTAAGGAAACACACATCTTCCACTATGTAGGCCGGTTTGTAAATTCAATTCACTCAAGTCCAGCTGAGGCGGGCCTCTCAGTCGTCTGTTTGCAGGTCACTTTTGCAACACTTCTTCATTAGGGTTACGGTTTACCAAGTCAGGAACTTTAAAGTTGACCTGTGATGCTGATCCCCATTTTAAAACTCTCATATTGTGTTACGATGCTGGATGCTCAAACTAAACGTGGGCAAAGTGTCAGATCATGAGGTAAACATATGTTGGAGTAATCCCAGGATGAGTCTGCAGAGGGCGCTGAACGGCTTGTTCTGTAAATCACGCCATAGTTCCCCAATATGAAACCAAGAATTTCACCAGACGGCTTCAAGCCTCAACGTAAGCCGCTGAAACTTCTTACATAGAATCTCTTCTCCCAGCTCTGGAGTGTAACTCTCCCCTGGCAGCCCTGCAGCGTTCTGCCTCACCAGGAAGGTGTCCAAAGAGCTGGCCATCAGAAGAGAGAGGGCACATGGGAGGGGGGAGACGATATGGGAGCTTGTACATTTTTACCTTCTAAAGCGGAAGATGAGTAGGCGCATGCAGCCGATCAGAACCATGGAGCCTTTGGCTTCTTGGTCAGCACACAGACTTTTAGCAGGACGTGATTTAGGACACTGGCACAATAACAGATTTAGAACACTGTTCATCAGCAGCTGCCATCTTTGTTGTTTATGAAAAATGACTCAGTGGCCCTAAGCTACGCCCTATATTAGATTCTGAACGGTTGTGAATGTCATCGGGCGGAGGAAAATCTCTGTGAGGGTGAAACGAGCTCATGGATTCATTTGGTTCACAGGCACATAAAAACCAATAATTCAGGGAAGTTATTGAGTGTTTTTCTTTTATAACTTTTGAAACTTTACAATGATGAGGTGTTTTAAAGCTCTAGATCTTCTGTAGAGACTAATGAGCTTTGAGTAACCACCATGGGGCAGACATAAACACAAACACAAGGCCATCATTTATTTAGTATGGAAATGTTCAACAACTCAAACTGGTGAAGAGAGTTACTGCCTGAATACAAGTTTAGTCATATCAACTAGAGAGGACTAAGAGAGGCATGCAAGGCTGCAAAGCTGTTTATATTGGTGCTTATACAACAGGACGTGGCTCACAATAGTCCTGGTTGGATATAAAATGCTAAAGAAGATCAAAACAGGAAGAAGAGACTGAGGAATGGTGACATCACACTGACCTGTTTTCAGGCAGAGCTTGTCGAAGTCGGAGCAGCAGCTGTAGTAGGTCTTACACAGATTGTCACACCTGCATCCTGGAGGTTTGGCCTCATCCAGCTCAAAGCACCTCCCCTTACAGGATCCCGCTGAGCTGACCCACTCTGAGACGTCTGGAGGTGGGAGAGGGACTCATTCAGACACAGGGCGGCAGATGTTGCAGATTTATTGGCAAAACTTTGCTTGAGCTATTCCTACATCAGATAAGGATTTTTTTTTTTCACCTGATTATGTAAAATACACTTCATTATGTGTCCCAATCTGTCCACAAGCCCCCCAATCAGTCCAGTTTAACAGGATGAAATTAATTCAATACAGCAAACACATTTTAAATGTAATGGTTTTAAGTATGTGCATGTTTTAAAAAATAGTTGGATTTCTTGAACCACCTTCAGCCTGGGAGGAAATTAACTTCAAAAACACTTTTTTTGGATAAGAGAATAACCTGCTAGGTGCACCATGCATCTCTGAACTTATTTCAGTAGCCCCTTTTCTGTTGCGTGTTCAAGACTGAACTTTTGGGCCTCCATTATGCCTCAGCATCAGTGTGAATGAGACAGAGGTGTAAAGGTTGGGCTAAGTCGGTCTGCCGGCACCAGAGGTAGTAACAGAGGAGAAATTGTATCGCTGTGTGTGTGTGCCTGTCTGACTGTGTGTATGTGGAGCTCAAGCTGAAACGTCGAACCGCAATGTGACTTCACAGACTGGGACATCAGCATGCTGTGCTGCAGCAGCATCTCGGTGTAAAATGGGCTTCTCGTTGAGGAGTTTGTGTCGCTCCTTAACAAGCAGATTTTCCTTTTTACCTGACATGGAGGCTTTACTCACCTTTAACTTGAGAGGGGGGGCTGTCTCCTCCCTCTGATGGCCCACTGGCTTGAAAAACATAAGCTCTGCTGACGTCGGTACTCCACAGACAGAACACAACCACTACCTACAGGAAGAAACACACATGATTAGACTTGACATTACAGGATTATTAATCCAAGCAGAGCCCGAGAGTCCCAGCTCGGGGTGGCTGAGCCAGGATGTTTTCATGCTACCTTGTTGCACTAATGAGGAGTTCATTTTCTCCTCCTCTGAAACACATTCATGATCACTTCTCACCAAAGGGGTCAGAGGTCAACGGGCAGAAAGGAGGGGGGGACCCTGGAGAAGTTGAGTGTTGTGTGATTCTATTCCAAGTTTAGTTCAGAGAAAAGAGCCATCACTTAACCTCTGCAGATAAACCTTCTGCTCCCAACAAAGATAGAAGATAGTGAGGGGGGGGGGGGTGATGGTCAGTAAGTCAAAATCTGAAGCATCATTTTGTTTATATCTGTTTATGTCACTGTTAAATAAACACATAAACAAACCAGCTGAGAGATCTCCTTGCTGAAAATCCCTCCCTTATCATTCCTTATGAAACCGAACCCTGAATTAGGGGAAACAAATTAGGCTTGTCGAGAGGAAATAATAACACTTTGATTCAAAAACATCACACCAGGCATCACGATTGGGTGCTGTTTCGTCTTTTTTTCTACAGAAAGATGTAGGACTTGGACATTTGACAAGAAGCCTAGATAAGTGGACGTTCCTGCTCAGTTGAGCTGAGGTAGAGTTTGTAAAAGTAGGTTTAATCCAAGCCGCAACCTCCAGTGTTGAAAAATGAAGCTGATACTGAAGTGTAAAATCTTGCAGTTCCTGGAGTGTCCACTAGAGTCTGGCTGCAGAAGCACAGGAAGTCACATACACACCCATTCTAAAAAGCCTGTTTTTACAGCAGAGATTAACATGTTTACAGCCTGGTTCAAAAAAACAAATAGGTCTGATTAGCTCATGTCTCGATCGGCACACACTGTACGGGCAGTGAATGTTTTGATGACCATCAGTTTTGATTTGATGAAGGATAAGAGTTATTCACAATAAGGCGTGTAGCTGACCTGATTGACAGGCGGGCGCGCTGTAACGGTTTGTCAGTAGGCTTAAAACCCGCCTCAGCTCCAGCTCTCAGCCTGTCGTTAAGTTGACTAAAAGTTAAGCTGAGACAGCATTTCCAGCACGGAGACCGCCACCGATGGGTCTCCATCGCCCCCTGCAGGAACAGTTGAGTGAAGTCACTCAGGCTCAAGCTGTAACTGTAATTTTTTAAGGTTTCTGCTTGATGTGTTGATGTGTTGCCAGTAATACATTGGCAAATACGTTTGCACTAAAAGTTCTATCAAAGCAGAAACTCAGAAAACAACTAATCATTCCAACATTTAAAGCTGCTCTGAGGGGAAGATGCCCAAAGTCATGTTGGGACATCACAAAGCAGATGAAACCGTCTGAGAGCGAGTAAGACCAACAGAGAGAAGATTTAAACTTCAGCTCAACAGATGTTCGGTGACTTGAACTAATATTCTTGAGAAACCTCCTGGAGACATCTCAAGGACCCCATGGAGTAGTTCCCTGGAAACATCTGTACAATACAGCAAGCAGTTAATTTGTAGTAAAACTCTAAAGCAAGTCACGTGATAAATCAGAGGGGTCACATGAGGAATACAAAAAAGACACTCGGCGATCTCACATCTTCAGTTCGGTCTTCCAAATTGGAATCAGAACCTCAACATCTGGATATATAACCGTAAAAATTCTTCCAGAACATGTTTGTGTCTGACTGCATCATCTCTGCTGGGCATTTATCACTCCCTTCTAAATGGTAAATCCTAACCAAACCTTTGTGAAAAGCAGAAACTCTTGATTGCCATATTTTTGCAGTGGAAGAGTCAATTAGTTATATATAGACCAGCTTGTCCTGACCAAGTAATCTGATTGGCCAAAAGGTATTCTGAGTGCTGAGAGGGCCTATGTCCATTAAAGGCGCTATCTGTGTTGGCAGCACTCACGACCTCTGACATTTGCATGTACTAAAACCAGCCACTGTGTCATCATTTGGGACAACATCGGCTCATCTCGTTGCGATTTGCAGTTTTTAAACAAGAAAAACGAAGCCATCCACAGAAAAAGTGAAGACAAATCTGTCTGCTGCGAGTTGGTGGTGACTGCACCACAGTATTTAAGGATGTAAACACTAAGTTGACAAAAACAGACTACTGTATGAAACAAAGATTGAATTATAACAGTATCACGGACATTACACGTAGTGGACTCTGCTAGCTTGAGCACTATGCTAGCTTGAGCACTATACAAACACTTGTTGACAGTGCGATTTCTATGCTAGTTATATCGGCAGTTTCTGCTTGTTTGTGTTCAGAAAACCATGGCAACCAAATGTATAACATTGGAGTTAGAGGACCTGATAATTATTGAGCAACAGCTGATTATTGCAATGAAGAAAAGACAGGAGACATCGGAGAAGATGGATAAACATGCGCTGACTCGGTCGCGGCAGAGGGTGAGGGAATTTCTTGCTCTTGTTTGGCCATTGAGATACATAGATGAGGAAATGCACTTCAAATATTCTCAGTTATCGGCACGTAGATTTGAGGAATTGGTTTGTCGCCTGCACCCAATATGTCACAACAGAGTACACGCAATATGCCCCGGCGACATATGCATAGCGCTGCACCTACGCAGAAGAAATGTAACTAGCCTATGTGTCGAAACAACGGCCATCACAAGCCCTGTGATTGGTCCATTGGGAAGCATCACATTTTCTGCATTTACAACATTTCCTGTATCGCTGTCATATTCTAATGTTGCAGAAATAACTAGCATATAAATCTCACTGCCAGCTAGCGTTTGTAGGTGGGGCATTGCAGAGCTACGCAGACACCGTGGTGATTCTGGAGCGTGTTGGGGCCCCATGTGAAAATGTAGAGGTGGGACAGGCCCTCCAGCCAGCACTCATCACCTTTATGTTATAGATAATAGTTACCGTTATCACCATTAGGAGTGGGCACTTTTTCTTTCTCCATTGCTGGTGTCAGAAACTTCAGATCCAATGTCTTGCTCTCTTTTTCCTCATCCTTTTTTTTTTTTTTTTTTTTAAACTTCCAGATGGATAATTCCTCTTTATTTTTCTTTCATAACTTTGACTAACTTGGGTTTTCACAGGGATCATGCATGGCCATGCTAAGCAGAGCACTCCGTCATTGATACATTTTCACATTAGAATCCACTGATGGTTTAAAGTTTGTCAGCCCACGTGGGGCTCCTTACTGGTCAGGGGCCCCACGAGCAGAACACCAACACACGGATGTAGTGACGTTGCTGGGCCATAGATTCGACTCATTAGTATGCTATAAATTAAAGTGCGTACTGTAAGTTTCTGCGTATACAGGGCTATGCGACGGCGTCGATTTGACACAGAAGTAAAAACGAGGTTTCGGTCGAAGGCTCAGTTTTTCCCACAAGCCTGCATGACCACTGACACCAATACAAGTAAATAAATATTATTCTCTATGACTTTAGTGTCAGTGTGACTTTCATATGATTATTGATATATTTAGGCCACATATTAACCTTCCTCAGCGTCATCCTGATATTCAAGGTGCTGATGGTTATGATGATGATGATGATGATGATGAGCGGAAACAAGGACAGTCCCTGGAGTAACCATTAACCTGCAGCTCGTGCTTACATTACCTCCCCCAGGTTAGCAAACCTGTGTGTCACTGTTGACATTGAGCAGCTCCATCATCCTCACCCTCTTCATCCTCACAATCTTCATCATCATCATCATCATCATCATTTTGTGACGACATTTTGTCCCGGCGTCAGTCCGACCAAAAAAAAAACAGCAGCCCGTCATCTCTGCTCTATAATTCATTTCACCTCTCGGAGTTACGTAAAGTCCTCTGTGAAGGTGAATCCTCCAAACTTTAAAGCGAGTCAAAGTGCAGCTCTCTCACGCGCAGGTCAATACATCAGCCCTGTACGACGCGGGGGAGGGACGGAGGGGGGGGGAGAGAGAGCTGATCTCATGAAAGCTTAAAAAATGCGACATGTGGATTAAACAACAGAACAATCACAGTCTTACCGTACCAGATTTCCCAGGAGCATGTTCTAGCTGTGAATCCACTTTGGCATTCCCCCTTAAAAAAACCGAAAGCGCAGAAAAAGGTGGCCAACGTCCGAGAGAAACTCCTCAGTGCGCGTCCGCAGATCGATGGAGCAGATGTCCAACTCTCTCTCTCTCTCTCTCTCTCTCTCTCTCTCTCCAGTTGTTTGCCTCTCTCGGTCTCGGGCCAATAAGCGTGGAGTAATGGTGACAGCTGCGCTCTGGTACAAGAGTGCGTCAGGTCGGGGTGACGCTCCGGAGTCCAACACAGTCAGGAGAGAGAGAGAGAGAGAGAGAGAGAGAGAGAGAGGGGGGGGGGGGGGGAGGGAGAGAGAGAGAGAGAGAGAGGAAAGGGAGGAAGAGAGAGAGGGAGGGAGAGAGAGAATGACAGAGAGAGAGAGAGAGAGAGAGAGAGAGAGAGAGAGAGAGAGGGCGGGAGAGAGTGAGTGAGAGAGAGAGAGAGAGAGGGGCACTCAGAGGGAGAACAGAGGTTGTATAATGTTCATTTTTCAGTCACTCTTAAAGGAATATGGAGGGATAATATTTACGTTTCTATTACCCCTTGGTGTCTCAAGTGTAAATATTTATCTGCGCATAGAAAAGGAAATCTGACAGTGTATTTGTTTTATGGCTTTGTTTGTTTGTTTGTTTTATTTGGATCCCCATTAGCTTCAGTATAGCCAGAGGCTATTCTTCCTGGGGGCCGCAGTTTATATTGTGACTAGTCCAAAATCCCCACACACCAGAAGAGGATCGTATAATGGCCACAGGAGGGCAACTCCACTGGTTGCAAAAAGATGTCAGATTTTATTCTACCAGAAAGTACCCCACTTCACATCTGAGTGATTATCTCATTAAACATTTCACAGGCGGCTTTATAATCTCAATCTCTAGTTTTCATTCTTCTTAACTTTCAAAAACACTGCGTTTGTAGTGACACCGCAGGCCGTTAGGTGAACTGCACCAGTAACCTGTTGCACGCTCTCGTACGTACACGAGCGAGCATCATCATCGGCTCCATTTTCCCACTTTTTATCAGACATTATTCTCCATTAGAAGTATCTATATTACGAGTGTTGAGCGACAGCAGTGAGAAAATTGTCTCCTCGTATCGCAACAATTTTATGTATCCGCATTCTTCCTCGCCCTCTTCCAGTTTCCCCTTTTTGGAATGACAATTACAGACTACCACCGCCTGCTGGCATGGAGAGTTATTGCCTCTCACGCATGAGCAGAACGTAGGCCTATGTGGTGGTTGGCCGTCGGCTGCAGTCTTTGCGGTGTGTTCAAATGCAACTTTTTGGCCCAGACAAAAGGCGACGTGAGGTGACGCCACTTGGTCACCACTAGTTCTTTGCCGTCTGCTTGGTGTGTCAGGGCCCTAAGCGGACGATCTACTTTTTCACATCAGTTAACCATTCACTTATTATTGGGCGATAAAAAACGATTTATACATGTGAAACGTTACATAATAGAGCCTTTAAAGAAAGCGAGATGTTCATTTTATAAATTACAGCTGTCGCTCTCTGTGTGGGCCCAACAGGCAAAAGCCCCTCCCCCCCTTCCCCCCACCGAGCCAGCATTCATTAATTTGTTTATTTCCAACATTTATTTGTCTGCCATTTTTAACCATTTGACTCTTTTTTAAGTCATGACTTCTCCTCCGTGACCCCTGCTCTCCTGTCCAACACAAACAACTTCACTGGGAGGGCAACTCAAGATTTCAGAGGCGCACGCGCGTGTGTGTGTGTGTGTGTGACAATATAAAACCTGAAACTTGCAGAGAGCTAACAGAGAGCTGAGCTGTGAGGGTGTCATGAGATCCCCTCTCTGATGTCCCCTGTAAACAAAGATACAAAGATACCTGGCTGTGAGGAGAGAGGCACTGTTTAAAGCCATCTCTGCAGCAGGTAACTCCTCCACCTGAGCACTCTGCAGGACGGCTGTCAGCCCCTCTGACAGCTACTCTGTGATTTTTAGATGAAAAGCACAGAAAGCTGCAGCATCACGCTTCTTTTCACAGTGCTGCTATAAACACACACACACACGCGCGCGCACACACACACACACACACACACACACACACACACACAGGGTTTTAGAAAGGCTCCGCACTCTGCCGGGAACATTTTGTTCATGGGGAGGGGGGACAAATCTCTCTGCTTTGAAAGTGATCTGTACATCCAGCACCTGAGGGGGAAACATCCTCGTCTTACAAAAAAGACCACACAGATGCAAACGTCGACGAATGCACACACACACACACACGCACACACACACACACACACACACACACACACACACACACACACACACACACACACACACACACACACAGGCATACACACACACACAGACACACACAGATCTGCAGAGACATGAAAAGAAAATACAGAGATTCGGAATGATAAAACCTCATTGTGTGTGTGTGTGTCCTGAATGACAAAGCACACACACACACACACACACACACACACACACACACACACACACACACACACACAAACTCTGCCCCCTGGCACAGATTAGCTTCCATAAGCCACAAGACAATCTGATTGGCCGGCGTGTCCCTCATCACCCGAGGCTGTGATTAGCAGGTTGATCCTGGCAGGAAGTCGGGCTGCAGCTTAAGTTTCAGCACACCTGGACTCGTCCATGTGGGGCGACCTGACAGCAGGATGTGGACGGGTACGCTCTGCGGCTTATTTAACAACCTCCTCATGTTTTCATCACATGTCTGAAGAAACACAGCTTACGACAATCACCACAAAGGCCGAAATATTTATTTATGTTAGTTTGTTACTTATCTCTTGTGTCTCGTTTTTTGTGCATGAAGAGCTCGGACGTCCGTTTCTGCTATCTCACCTGGTCTAACTTTTCGTCGGTTTGCTCAGACTCTCACCTCATACGACGCCAGTCTGTCATCGCAGACAGAGGAGACACAGACAGAGGAAATTCAGGGTTCAGACGCCTCAGGATGAGCTTAAACGGCCTCCGTCACCTTCAACCTCGAGACATCACACTTCTGAGTTTAGTCAAAGTTTAAGGAGCTCTGTTTGATCAGCTGCAGAAACAACATCTCTACATTCTGTGTGCACACACACAAGTTTCTTCTGATGTTTCTCATCTTTAAACCAGAGCTGCTGAGTTCCTAAACCTCCCTCACTCAAGCCGTTTTCACATATGCACTCCGGATAATATCTAGATATTTACAGGAGGACTTCTCCGGAGATTCTCCCGACCTAGCCGTTCACATATGCTCCCCACAGTGGGGGACTTTTCCTGTCAGAGGGGAGGGGGCACAGGGGATTTCCCGACGTAAATAAACAACGCGGAAGTAGCGGCCTTAGTAACAGAGTCCACTACACGACGTTATAATGAGAATATTTCTCTTTATATCAATGCTATTTGTAGTCCAATGGAATGAAAACATCCACAAAAGAGTGGAGAACAACATACTGACGAACAGAAAACATAATGCAGCCTTTTAATTACGTGCACGGAGATCGTAGTGGTCGCGTGCAGATACTTTAGCCGGTCACTGTATATAAACGTCATTCTATTCCCATTGGCTCGAGTTGAAATCTCCGGAGTATATTCGGCTGTGTTCAGACAACAGCTCACTCGGATATTCTGCGGATAAAATACTAGGGGTCTGGCAGGATAAACTCCGGGTAAAGTCTGCACGAAAAATGCGGCTGTTTGCGTTCACACATAGCCTAAAGAACCTCGGAGTAGCCAAATCTCTGGAGTTTTTCAGGAGATTTCGGTATGTGTGAAAAGGGTTTCAGATGAGACGGGATGCTACTTGACTTAAGGGAGTTGGGATTCTTATGAAATCAACATAAACAGAAGACGAGCAGATTTTGTAACTGTCCAACAGAGACATGACTGAGTGAAACTGATTTTGATTCTGAGACGAGACAGAGACCTTCAAAAAGTCTCCAGACCGAGTATTACACTAGAGTCGGCACTACACCACAGAGTTCAACCTCAAGATCAGGTTCAAGGTCAGGAAGAAAATGTGAGAGAGGTAAAAAGTGACAAAGTGAGAAGAAAGACTGATTTCAGTCATGCAGCATGTCCTTCTCCATCCTTTAGTTCTTGTAGGGGTTGTTTTATAATCTCTCATAACCAGCTTTGAGCTTTAAGTCGCAGGAGAGGAGGATTGTTTCAAACTGAGAAGGATTTTGTTTGCTTAAAGTAAATCAGGCTCTCCGTGAGAGAACAGTCAATAAAAGGAGTGAGTCTGTTTAGGGTCATGTCTTTTGATCACTCGTCTTTTTTTTGTCCTCTGAGCTCCAGCGTCTCAGCATGAGTTTTCCTCATGTCTCCATTCATACCAACCTGTTGAGCGTCTGATTGTGAAATGTGGAAACGAGCCTTTAATGACTCTGATGTTTGAAGGATCGGAGAGTCTGAGGTTCAGAGCGGATAGTGCTCCGATACGTTCACTCTGCTGACTTTTGTGCATCGTAATTCAGGAACACTAATGTACTTTGGACAAAGTTAATATTTGCCTCATGATGCTCAAACACACACCCACACACACACACACACACACACAAGCACACACACACACACTCACACACACACACACACACACACACACACACACACACACACACACACACACACACACACACACACACACACACACACACACACACACACACAGAGCCTGTTCCTGTGTCCACGTGTCTCCTTTAAGAGAAAACAGAGAAACGTTTCTGTGCGTGTTAAACTTTTCTGAAATGTATCTTTAGATCATTTTAACGCTCGGAGTCGGTCGGACACTTTGACGTTTTAAACTGTGCTTAGATCATTTGGATGATTGACAGATTAGTCAGGATTCAAAGTATTCCTCTGGGTGATTTACCTTCAAAGCTGTGATAAGAGCACATCAGCTCCAGGTCCTTTAACCATCAAATACTTCTACCATCGCTATCTGTTACTTCATGTAGCTTATAAGAAGGAATTCATTTTCAGTCTGATTGATGCTTAGAAGACAAACAGGATTACAGTAAGGATACACTGATGATGAAGATGTGGTTGTGAGCTGCTCTTGGGCATGATTGTGTCAGAAGCTTTTGTCCAGCAGAGGGCAGCACCATCTCTGATAAAGTATGAAAGCGCCACCACCAAACCCACTTTACAGTACTCACCTCCCATCTGCACTGGAGTCCTGTTGTGGGTACCCAACAAAGCCCTGGACAGTCCAGTACTCTGCTGCTAGAGTCCTCACCCACACCAAGCCC